TGAGTATTCATACCTATCTTCATTTCGAAACACAGCCCAAACAACAGCTACTGCTATGCATAGTCCCGAGAGAAAAATAAGTCTCACTTCAATGCTTTTGCCATGACAAGTAATCCTAAAACACAGATTAAAATATTTTAGTTTATGCTACCAATGATGTACAATGTTCACTTGGTATAAAAAATTACCAAATATTAACCAATCACAAGAAGTGACTGAAATAACAATTCAGAAGCCTTTAAACAAATGAGACGTAATAGTTAGTGAAAAAGAACTTTCTGTGGTGATGTGGCTACTGTGGTGGTGACTGTCCACATGTGGCTACTGAATCCTTGAAATGTATGAGACTGGGGAACTAAAACTTAAGTTTAAAAAAATATAACATTAAAATTTAATTAATATAACTTTTTTATTTATATAACTTTTTTATTTTTTATAACTTTAATTAATTTAATTTAAACATAAACAGCATAGATCCAACACAGATTGGACTACACAGGTTTTAAAATAACACTCTTACTTTTCTATGTATAATATTAAATTACAAATAATAATATAACAACATTTGGCATGAGAGATACATACGTGCATTGTCCACATGGTATATTATGAATTAATGCAGCAAGACAGTTGTACAGACTCATTGCTGATGCTATGCAGAAAATTGCTATCATAACATAAACTAGAAAAAAACAAGAGAAGGTAATGTGAGAAGAAAATATATAAGCAATATTAATTCTTTTGCTTCTTTACTAAATTATGATACTTTCAATCCAGTGAATATATTAGTATCTGAATTAGTTACTAAACTAAATATATTTAGTTCTTGAATTTTAAGAGTGGGTATTTTATGTGTTTTTACATTCCTTTATACATGGATAGGACTGCTTAAGGAGCTGAAGGTGGCCCTGCATTTTTTATCATTTAATAATTAAAGTGATATATGTTAAAGGTTTCTATGAAGTGAGGTATAGATATTTATGAATATTTAATTAAATGTAAGGAATAGAAGAATTAATAAGCTACTAAGAAACATTTTTTTAAATGCAACTTAGAGATGGAAATGAACACTTGCCATAAACACAAACCATGTTATCTACATTTTCCTATGGAAAATTCATCTATAATAACTTGACCTGTGGTAAAACCAAATAGATTTAAACAAAATTCTTTGCTACAATATGATACTCAGGTAGTTAAGATTGATGAGTGTTTTACTATATTATTCATACTTATTTGAGAATTATTTAAAATTAAAGACATTTGCTGGGCATGATGGCACACATCTGTAATCCCAGTGACCTGGGAGGCCAAGGCAGGAGGATTGAGTTTAAAGCCAGCCTCAGAAACTTAGTGACACCCTGTTTCAGGAATAAAAAATAAAATGGGGTGGGAATGTGGCTCTCAATCTCTGGTACAAAAAAAAAAATTATGTATATATATAAAACTTTGCTGATCCTCCTCAAAAATCTCATAATACAAACAAAAATTGCACCTGATTTTTTTTGAATTCTACTTAATTTCACAAAACTATAGCTTTATTTGTAAGAGAAAAAGACTAGTCTAGACACTGCAATTCAGGAATAGCCACTTTCTGACTGGTGATGCTGGATAAATCACTTTTTTAGTCCCTTGATTCTCATGTCTGAAATGTAAAATTTAATAATACCTATTTTGGGATTATTGTGAGTATTAGATAACTAATATATATGAAGTGCTTAGAATATTATCTAGCACATAAATAAATTTTATGGTATTATTTTTATTATTGGTTATGTGTGGTAATGTGAGTAGGAAGATAGACTGCCAAGCTGATTTTGGTAAGCCGTCTATCAAAATTGCCTAATCCCAAATTTTAACACACTGGTGGAAATCATGCTTCTTGGTGAATTTGAATGCTTCATTCAATATTGTACTGTATCTTAGAAAATGATTAAGTATGAGGAAGAGTTTGGTTAACATAACTCATCTTTGAGCAGCGCTTTGTTAAAACAATGTTTTTAATATAAAATGGCAAGGACAGCCTCAGCAATTTAGTACAACTCAGTTAGTATATTAAGAAATGGCAGCAATTTTGGCCATAGGAACAATTCTGAGAAAACAAAACTTGCAACATCGTGACTCAAGGTATTGCAAGAGTCATAATTAAATCCTGTGTCCTAGAGTAACTATAAAGCTGAATGATCTTCCTATATCAGAAATTACATTTATAAACAGAATCAACTTTTTAAATAGCAGTGAGTTTAAGAAAATTTCTTACCGAAAATTAAAATGTGCTTTAAGATAGTGTAGAGAATATCTTTCCTGTCCAAAAACCATTGATGTATCAACTGAGGGACAGACAAAGATTAAAAATTGAAGGCCAGGTATAAGATTACTAAACTCAGCTGCTCAATCTCAACATAATATAAAAATAATTTTAGTACTCAATCTCTCAGCAACAGATTGAAATGAGTAATACTCACAATGATTATTTTTTAATCATTGGAATTAATTAATCATGGAATGCTACCAGGCTAGTTTTTTTTATTGTTGTTTTTAATTGGGAATTAAGCCTATTGAATCACATCCCCAGTCCTTTTTAAAAAAAAATTTTTTTTAGTTGTTGATGGACCTTTATTTTTTTTTTTAATATTTATTTTTTAGTTTTCGGCAGACACATCATCTTTGTTTGAATGTGGTGCTGAGGATCCAACCCGGGCCGCATGCATGCCAGGTGAGCACACTATAACTTGAGCCACATCCCCAGCCCCAACGGACCTTTATTTAATTTACTTTTACGTGATGCTTAGAATCGAACCCAATACCTTACATTTGCTAGAAAAGTACTCTACCACTGAGTCACAATCTCAGCCCCAGCCCTTTTAATTTTTTTATTTTAGATAGGGTATCACTAACTTGCTGAGACTGGCTTCAAATTTATGATCCTCCTATCTCAGCCTCTGGAGTCACTGGAATTACAGGTATCCCACCATATCCGTCCTGCCTACTTTTTAAATTGCTGCCGCAACTCAGGAGTAACTGAACAATAAACTGAAATCAATAGTAGGGCCTCAGTTTTCTGGTCCAGAAATTTATACTGATCATCTCCAAATAAGCATTTACTGGTTTTTACAAGGGTTTTTGCTAGTTTTCATCAGGAACACTCCCCTTTTTCCTGGTCTTCCTCCTATTTGTACAGTATACTGGCCAGAAATTGCAAATTTTCACCCTGTCAGACCACTAATATGATTTGTCTAGGGAAAGAGCAAGCTATTTCATTCAGTTCTTACACCTGCCTTCTTAAAGGAAAAAGAGTACCAGTTACTTTCTAGACCATGTAGGCAAGTACCTCTGTGTCTTCATATATGGTATGATCCTAACTGCTTGTGTAAGTAAAACAAAATCTAAGCAATACAGCATCTTGATTTGCAAATTGAAAAAAGGATAAACTACACCTTGGGAGTAAGCAGAGGCAACAAATCAGTAATTTTAATAATCTTTTATTCCATGTAGCTAAATATAGCCAACATGAAATCCTTAGTCTGCAACTTGGATAATGGGCTATCATCTCTAATCTGCAGAAAGGGAAATTCAGGAATCAGAGCCATTCTTTCAAGTCATCTATGAACAAGTATTCATATCTCAGAGTAATAGAGATGGAGCACTTTTGGCAAAATACCCAAATTGTTGACTAAAGTTTTTTCAGATAGAATGCTTTAAACAAATAGATAAATCAGGCAAAGTAAATGAAAATAATATATACCAAAAGTAGCAAACATAAAATATAATTTCTTACCCAACCATTTGTAGAAAAAATAAAGCAAGACCATCATAACACAGCAGATGACCACAAATATTACAACTGTAAGAGGATTGATAGTTAAATATTCTTCCCTCTTTTTCCTCATTTCTTTATCTTCAGTCGTTGTCACTGCCTTCAAGTTTTCCCTGCATAAACAAACATAGGAACTTTGGCAAAGTTCTACCAAGCACAGTTATTTAAAAAAAAATTTTTTTTTAGCTGTAGTTAAACACAATACCTTTATTTTATTTATTTATTTTTATGTGGTGCTGAAGATCAAACCTAGTTGCCTCACACATGCCAGGCCAGTGCTCTACTGCTGAGCCACAACCCCAGCACCCCTTCCCCACCGAAGTACAGTTATTTTCAAGATCTACCCCAATTTAGTTTTGATTCTAACTATAAAAACCCCAACATAATTCTACCCTCCAGAGAGGATCTATTCCTAACCACTAACTTTTGAAAAAGCAGCCCCCCTCCCAGGCAAAACTGTTAAATAGATGATAATTTATTAATATTTGGGGATACAGTAGAGGAAGGGAACTGAGATAGAGAAAGGAGGTATATCATTTGCTGAGTAGTTAAGTGTCATTTGTCAAGTATCATTTGTTGAATCAACTTCATTGCCTCTTCCCAGTTACATGGAACTTACCATATACTTTCCCAGCTCTAATCCCCTCAATACTGTTCTATTAAACTCTAATTCCCCTTGGATGTGTCCTGGTCCTGCTCTTAAGTCTGGACTCAATACAAACTTTAGGTTAAAAAAAATTAAAGTTTATTTTATCAAACTGCACATTTGCAACTATTTATCTACCAGCATACCACTTTCTTATTAGAAAACTATTTACTGGGATGGCCACCCTGTGACTCCAGGGAGGGTGCCACGGAAATGGGCAAAGAGAGAGTTAGTACCAAGACACAACAGTACCTATCTTGGAATTGTAGAACTGAATGACAGGGCATTAACACAAATTTCAATAATGTGGTATGTATTGCTAACCTTTGGTATCTGTCATTGCAAACAAATGTAAAGACATTTTTATCATAGAACACATATATATCATAATAATGATTTATACATTCATATTCAGTGTATTAAAAAGATTTTCTTGGAACAAAGCTTATACTAGATTTATATCACATTAAAATATTACAATTCACTTTTAAAAAAACATTGTATTCCCTTAATAAATAATCCTTTTCTGAAAACAAAAACAAAAACATTGTACTCAATCAGCTTGAGGGCCATGTG